TCCTTCATCAGCTTCATTTCCTTTAACTCGACCGACCAACGCCCTTCTCCATCTCCGTTGATTAACCGAAACTTACCGAAGTACATCGCAGGAGTCAATTTCCACCTGTATGTCAGTGTAGCCATCGTCGATTGCCCAAGAAATAGCTCGATGAACAATGTGTTGGAAAAATGTGTGAAAAATTGCATTAAATGGCTATTTTGGGACAATTTTTTGAGTGGGGTCCACTTCCGATTTGGGTCGGGTCAAAGTGGTTTCGGATTGTCCTTGTTAAGGGCTACAATTCGATATATGGTACGCTCAAAACGGATAACGGGTGAATGAGAAATCGCTTTTCGAAGTTTACCCGTTAGAAGGGAAAAAGGATGAGTTTCTAGTGTGTTAATTTCCCACACCGGAAAACCCAAGGGATTTGCTACCCTTTATAAAGGGACTCCCCCCTTATGGAGTTAAGATTCTTAAGGGTAAAGGCTCTCTCCACGCGCGCAGGGGGGGGGGGTGCAAATCAAATCCCGAATTCGGAGAAGAAAAACCGCGACTTGCGTGCGCGGGCGACCTGCGGACACGAATGTCGTCCAAAAATCTATCTCTCAAGAGATACGATTAATATTTGTTTTCTTCCCGAAACGTTTAATTTTTTCCCAGCGGCAGAAGTGCTCGGACAGAAGCCTACGGATCAGAACACCTCGTTGGTGTTCTGATGGCAGAACCCCTCATGGGGTATTCTGATGGCCACCCATCAGAGATGGGGTATTCTGGTGGCCGCCCATCAGAGTTGGGGGTACTCTGATGGCCGCGGATCAGAGTTGGGGTCTTCTGATTGGCCTCCGATCAGAACCCCTCCCGGGGTGTTCTGATGGAGGTCTTCTGTCGCGCTTTTGATACGTTACAACAATTAATGCCCAACGTTCTTATCTTTTAATGCAGCGTTAAATGGACAGTTCATGGACGATTCAATGCCCAACGGACTGGTCATTGATGTCCAACGTTCAGGTCCATTAATTCACTATTTTCATACAACAAATCCTCCTATATAAAGGCTGGCAGGTGGTTTGCAACAACACAAGTTCACACACGTTCTTACACGATTTTACACGAATCCATACACGTTTTAGCTCTAAAAACACACTGCTAGCACTCTGAAAATTCCTTCTGTGTTCAGTCTTTGTTCTCGTTCGCTGGAACTCTTGTTTGAGTGCTCAAACACTAGTTCGTTGTCATCGTATCCTGGGAAACTATTGTTGCAACGCTCCTAGCACCGTGGGAGGCAACAAATACGTTTTAAGGACATCGTGCGTAGCACGAGCTTTGACAAATTCTGCTTCATCTCCTTTCTTGTTTTTCTTTCGTCATTTTATTTAATTAATTTTCTTTATTTTCCGAAACACACCCAAGACAATGAGCATCTCAGCCTCCAAAGGAGAAGAAGCCGAGACTGGGAAGTAGATAGCTTTTACCAGAAGCCCATCCTGATTTCTCAATATCGCACCCCCTGCGGATGACTGAGATGAGTAACTGGCATCTGTATTGAGTTTATATTTTTTATTCGGTTTCTTCCACTTAACTGCAATTATCTTTGGTTTATGAATTCTGTTAGAGTTTGGAATAAGCCTTTCCTCATACAGAATGCTATCAATCTTTTGCACCTTAGTAGCGGAGAAACTAGTTACCCAAATCTGAGAGTATATTTTAATTTGTCTTATCAGCTTGTCCTGCGAAAAGTTTGTGTCCTCATGACCCCAAATTATGCTGGTGTACTCTTTCCAAATGTGCCAACAGACAATACCTGGTAGACAGTGCTTAAAAATGTCTTCCATTTTTTTCGAGCCTGCCTTAAGCCACCAAGTAACAAACACATGCCTGATTGAAAGTGTTTGGAAAAGATTAGGAATTCCAAAAATTCCCCTAAAATAATCCCAAATAGGTTTTATCTTGTCACAACTATAGAAAATATGATCAATATCTTCTGAGTGATGCCTACAGAATGGACAAATAGATGGATTGAAAACCAAAGAGAATCTCATCAGATTGTCAGAAGTAGGCAAAATGTTTCCTAGCAGCTTCAATTGAAATAGTCTAATTTGTAGTGGCAGCCTGGGATGCCAAGAATGCTTATTAGTGAAACTTACAGGTCTGTCCTCCCTTATAGACTCATATGCCGACCTGAAAGCCTTTATGGATGTGTAAGTAGTTCTATTTAATTCAAGGTTCAAAAGGCAATCAACTCATATATTGTGCTCAAGCTTTAAAACCTATTGTCATTTACAACTATTTTGCACTCTCTCATTTTTGTTTAAAGTAACAAATTAGTGACTAAAGTTATTTATCTTTTTACTGTACAAATTTCAATCAACTTATTACCTTATTATTTTACGTGAAAGTCAAACTTAACTAAGTTTTAGAAATGAAATTAAAGGATATATTATTGTTGATCCCTATTTCTAACAATCATACAACCATAAGAATGATAGAAGAAGCAGATAGATTGAACGGAAATTTGGTACATCGTGTAATGGCCGTTGCTCTCCCTCTAGAGAGAGAGAGAGCAGTGTGAAACTATTCTCTCTATTTTGCCTCTATACTCTATGCCTTCATTAGGTTTTCCTCATAAGTTAGCTTCCTTTTATAGGAGAAGGAGGCTAACTTATGGCTTACAAGAGGCCTAATGGGCTGCTATGGCTCTTGTGGCCCATTTACACATTTAACTAACAACTACACAAATACAAAGGCATCTAACTAGATTGGACACTAAAAAAAGTCCTAACAATTATGTTAAAATAAAAATAAAACGAATCGCATAACCACACACTTTAAAATCATATAGACATATTTTTCAGACAATAATTGGTTGACATGGAATATAACCAATCTGACAAAAATCTAATTTTCATTATCTATTTACAAATATCTCATAATAATTTTGCATATAACAATTCTTTATAGAAAAGAACATTATTTTAATATTGGGCAAAACACTCTCGTGCCTTGCACGAGTAAACGCTAGTATTAGAGTATAATGGAGAATTGGAGATTGGAAAATAAGAAAATAAGTATATATAAAATAGATATTATAAAGTATATATAAAAGTAGATATTATAAAATAAGTATATATAAAATAGATATTATTAATTAGAGAAGTAGATATTATTATGTATTAAGTATATAGTAATAGTTTATAAAGTATATTTAATACTTTATTATATAAAGTATATATTAAGTAGATGTAGTATGTATGTATGTATTAAGAGATATAAGTAGAGATTAAGTAGATAAGAAATATAACTATATAAGTAATATATTATATGTATTTATAAGTAGATAATTAATATATAAGTAGATATAATAATTGTATAAGTATTAAATAGTAAAATAAAATATAAAGGAGAATAATAGAATTTGAGAAGATGAATATGGAGAATTGGAGATGAGTAGAGAGTAGGATTTAGGGAGAGTTGGAGAAGAGGTGTGAAAAAATGTTTAAAATTAGGAGTATTTATAGGTTTTTTTAACCCCCACCCCCCACCCCCCACCCCCACCCCCCACCCACCCCAAAGGTCCTGGACCCCCCTGGTACCCACCCAACGGCTATATGACGTTTGGGAAGTGGCTGTTGAGCCAAAATGGGGTTTTTAAAATTAAAAGAATTTTTTTTAAAAAAAAATATGACCGTTAGGCCCGGGCCCGACCCGGCCGGGCCGGGCCCCCAAAAACAGAACCCGAGCCCGGACCCGCTACCCCCCACTGGTTCGGTGCCCGAACCGGACCCGGACCCGGACCCGAGAACCGGACCGGTTCCGGGCCCGTACAGTGACGGGCCTGGCCGGTCCCGGGCCGGGCGGCCCGAACCGGGTCCACCACTATCCACGAGTGTTTGAACCATGTGCCTGGTCTCATATACTCCCAATTTTAGCCCTTCAGTATATTACTACCTCCGTCCCATTTTAGTTAGTCAATCTTGACTTTTCCGGTCAAAGGTCGTAAACTTTGAGCAATTATTTGAACTACTTTTTCTTTTGAGAGGATTTGAACTAATATACTTATGCAAAAATAATAATTATATACTTTTATGATAGGATTTTCAATAAAGAACATTTTCATATAAGTTTCATATTATTAATATTTTATCTATATAAATATATAAGCGGTCAAAGTTGGATACCATTGACTTGGAAAATCATGTTTGGCTAAGTAAATTGGGACGGAGGGAGTATAACGTAACAAACATCATTAACAATATGACTAGAGTTAATAAGTGTGAATTGTTCGTATAAAGTGTAAATCAACTTTTGACAATCCTAAATAAAAAATATAAATACAAATTATTAGAAGGTTAGTTATGTAACTAAAGGTAACAAGTGTTCATGATCACAATATTGTATTATTGGAATATATTTGTGACAAGAATTCTTCTTGTACACCCTTTAATGTTTACAAACTTGCACACACGGTCTGTGAAAGCCTTTTTTATCTGTCATAGACATAACACGTTCTGCCTGTGACAAACAAAAAAAGTCTTCACAGACAGTGTGTACAAGCGTGTAAATAGTAAAAATATGTTCAAAAGACTTTTTAGTATCTGTAAGTCTCGTTTATAAATTATAAGGTTTTAAATTATTCGAGAAACCATATGGCGATAATTTAAAAGTCAAAATCTCGAAAAAAGAATCTAATTTGTGAAAAACATGATTAAAGGATGTTTGCAATAGCTTAAAAAAAGCACTTCTCAGCTTTTAGCTTAAAAAAGCACTTATTTACCAAACACTTACAATTTTTACTTTTTCTCGGCTTGCGTGTGAAAAGTGCTTTTCCCTTTTCTATTACATAAAAAACACTTATTTTACCAAACACTACCAACTTTTACTTTTCAAAATCACTTTTTTCTCAAACACTATCAACTTTTACTACTAATCACTTTTTCATTACATCTCCAAAAGTGCTTTTTTTTAAGCAGAAGCAGTTGCAAACACTCCCTAAGGATGTATCAAAATCTCAATAGACGTATCAAGTCAAATCAGAAAACTAAATATTCTGGGGAGTGGGTAATAAGCTGTTAGCTGTACAAGTTAATCAACAAGCTTTTGAACCAACTGCTGCTGTACACTCGTTTTCCAGTACTAAAAGGGCAACTTTAATAATAATGTTTATAATAATGCTGAATAATAATTAATTGATATGAACAAGAGACAAGAACCAAGGCTCCAAGTTATTTACAAGACGATTAACCGGACAATCTTGTCCAGAAATCGGAAAGACTTGCGCATATCTTGCAAACATCTGTTCTTATGGTTTCTAGGCCAATGCTGACTCAGCATGTTGAGCTTCTCCCTCACTCCTTGCAGCAATTTTTCTTCATTTCCGTTCCATCTGTACATTTCTAACGCCCTTCCTTCTCCTCCTCTTATCAACTTCTCACAAACCTGATCATTGTTACAAACAATTTAAAATTTGCACTTTCATATTCTCATAATTATTAATGCAAAATTACATAACAAGTGCCTATCAATCATTTACTTAATCCGGAGTATATCTTTGTGAATAGTGAAATAGCAAAGCACATAAGCTGAAGAAGCTGCTGATTCAATACTTGTTCTCCTGAAAGAAGATACTCTTTGTCAAATAAATGATCTTACATCGGCTAAATGGAAACTTATATAAGATTTTAACTACTCCTTATGGCAGGTTAAACCTTTAGAATGACCGTCAAATCTTACTATGATATCATTGATTGACTACTCATCCAAATGTCCTTTTAAGGAGAAATCTTTTGCATAATATTACCTTAAATAGTTAAATCCCTTTTGCACAATATTTGCCCCATCCTAGAATGAAGTTCTCTTCCATTATTCCTCAGCCAACTTAACTCTCTCTCAGTCTTTGGTTCTCTATACTTCGAATTAGATTTTTATCATATTTGAATTCAGAATTTGCGCTTCATTACAACGTCTAGTTTCTCAATTTGTACATTTTAATTATTGATAGTAATTAAAAAATTAGCAGTGGATGAGTTAACTTTATCAGCAGTTAAACACCATAAACCAAAATGGAACTTCACTGGGAAAGAGGCAGTAAATTTTAATATAGTTCGAGATGATTCTCATAATTAAACCATTTTGGTCATATTTTCAGCAATTTCAGAATATTTCAACCAAATTTTACTCCACCAAACTAGTTCAAATGACAATTTAGGACTGGAGCATATGATCCGCCAAGCATGATGTGTTTTTTATTAATAAACAAAGTATCTCCATGCTTGGGAATCTTGCAAGTGAAATAAAATAAGCAGACTAGAAGAAGCAGAAGGATTGAACCTTTTTAGCTATAACTTGACCTCCGGCGATATGGGAGAAGTATATGTTGTAGAAATGGCATAGAAACAAAGGGGGGTTCTTCTCTCCAAGTTCTTCAAGATAATTGGAGTAATCAACACCAGGATTGCTAGGTTCCGGAATATCATTTCCTTGTTCGCTTAGCCACTCAAGATCTCTCGATATACAATCTGCTCTTTCCAATCCAGTATTTCTGAAGTAAGCATCTGTTTCACACATGCACAATAACATCAGCATCTTTTATCAGATTCATTCGCCATTCACAACCAGTTAAATTGGAGGCCGTTTGAGGACCTACAGTTTCAGCTTTTAATTAGACAGTCTTTGTTTTTAAAATTAATCATGTGTAACAGTGTAAGTAGTTTTTCATTTTTACAGAACAACTTTTTAACTGAAATTTTAGCCGTTTCTAAGAAGTTGGACATTTGTATCTAATGATTATGTTTTGAGCAGCCTGGTTTAAAATTTCAGTCATTCTCATACTATTTTAACTGAAAACTACTCAAAAAAATTGTGGCATCCAGACAAATTTAATTATTTCGAAACCACTTTTTAGCAAAGTGTACTCGAAATTGATTCTGAATATAATCGAATAATTGATCTCATTACTGAAATAACCTCATTTTTCAGCTATCCTGAACAGCTCTTCAAACATTTCAAACCCAATTTTCAGATTTCATAGCTATTGAGCTTCTCTTTTCTGAGCTGAACAGATTAATGTATGAAACAACTAATGAGGAAAAACAATGTAACAACTAACAAAAGGAGAAGAAAACATACAAGAAACATCACTGGTTTCATCAACAGTGCGTTCGATTATGCTGAAAACCAGCCTGCTATCCACAAGGTACCTTAGGAATCCTTCCATGGAAGGCTGCCAGTACTCCCCAATTCCACTACTATCATTGGCCTCTATGACTTCTTCTTCCTCGTCACAATCCTCCGAATCTATCCCACTCTTAGCTCTCCGCTTACTTTTTGGGCTGCCATTGTTGCGGAGTCCCATCGCGACGAACCTCATCTCTTCCGCAATGCCCTTCTCCTCACCAGGGTATTGCTTTCTGTACGCCCTTCTTTGCCGCCTCACAGGGGGGAGAATCACCATCGGCGCGGCAGAATATGGCGCCGGCCTGCTTCCGGAATCCAGTTCTTCTGTTTCTGGTTCCGGCTGCGAGAATGTTGCCGGGGAGAAGTTGGGGCTTGAACGGTGAATGGAAGAGATGGGTGTGTCGGTTCTGAGAATGGTTTGGTTGAAAGAGGCGGGGATAAGTGGGAGTGAAGTGCAAAAATTGGGAGTGGACTTCTTGAGGTTTGAGGGGTTCAGGGGGGTGCCGCTTGTTCCTACAGCTGCTGCAAAAGAAGAGGAAGCCATTGCTGCAAACCTCTTTTGCCGCAGAGGCGGATTCAAAAGGGATCAATTGCCCCTCAATCCCAGTGCCCCTTTCTAGATTGAACACAAATATTTCTGCGAAGTATCAATCAGAACACTGTCCGGCCACCAATGGCTGTTTCAGGCGTATTTTTTTTTTTTTAAGAAAATTGCAGCTAAGAATTGTCAATTATATATAGGGATAAGGGTCAGTTTGGTCCTCGAAGTTGCAAAAAAGGGGTCAAATAAGTCCTTATATAGAAAATTTTGACCGGACGTGCCATTTGAGGTGGCTCCCGGTGGAATTTTTTGATGAAATTTTTGGAGCATCTTATTCATTAAGTCTAGTTTACTCATACCAAATTTCAAATAAAAATTCAATCGGGAAGACATTCAAATGAATTCTTGAAGATAACTGTGCCGTTAAAAGCGCAGTTATCTTCAAGAATTCATTTGAATGTCTCCCCGATTGAATTGTTAGCTGAAATTTGGTATGAGTAAACTAGACTTAATGAATAAAATGCTCAAAAAAATTCATCAAAAAATTCTATCGGGAGCCACCTCAAATGGCACGTCCGGACAAAATCTTCTATATAAGGACTTATTTGACCCCTTTTTTGCAACTTCGAGGACCAAACTGACCCTTTACTCATTATATATACTATCCCAGTATCCCTATTTATATGTTCCTCCTTTGGCACAATATTTTAGGATAGAATAATAAAGGTAGTGAGGTGTGTTTGGATATGATTCTCAAAACTTATTCTGCTCGTTCAGGGAGCAGAAGCAGAAGTTGGAGTGTTTGAGTGAAATTCCAAAAGAACTTCTGGTGCTCTAATTTACTCCTAGAATCAGTTTTTTTAGAAGCTGGGGGTACCAGCTTCTGAAAAACTGATTCCAATTCTGCTTCTGCTTTAAAAAAGAAGTAGAAGCAAAATGAGTTCCAAAACTTACCTAAAATGGAAGTGTAGAGAACTTTTAAATATATCCTGAAAAGGAAAGTGTAGAGAACTTTTAAATATAGGGGGAGTATTATTGAGTTAAATTGTGTTTTTAAACATATTTTGGTGACTGTAAAAAAACATATTTTGGTGCATTTTTCAATAAATTATTTAATTGATTTCTTGATTATATTTTAAATTTAAATTTTGTGGACATAATTTACCATTCATAAAGGGTGCTACAAAATTTCTTCAAAGAATTACTCATGTGAGCACCTTAAATTGATTAGGTGCAGTGAGAAAGAAAGTGTGTGTAAAGTGAGTAATAAAGTAACTTTATATTAAAAACTTATAAAAAATAAAAGTGTGAACTTTACTATGGGTATGACTAAATATGAAAGTATGAACTTTATTTGAGATAGGAGGTAGTATAAATGGATAGAAACTAGACGATTCGGGTCATATTAGGTGTGAGACTGATCTATTCTATCTAGCTCGTGCGATCAAATTTTTTAAATGAAAATAGTTTATTCAATGTCGGTATCAAGGGATGAACACTTATGATTTTGTAGGTCTAGCTTCAACCTATTAAGTTAATCCTAAACAATACTTCCTCCGTTACATTCATATCTTCTCATTTTCCTTTTTTAGTTGTAACATTTATATATTCACATTTCTAAATCTTCTTATCATATCCTCAATAATTTTAAAAATAATACACTATTACAACTACTTTTTTTGGATTTATCTTACATTCCATCACATTATTCTACTATCTTCCTGTCATACTCCCAATAATTTATATTTTTCTTCACTATTCATAATCTACCTACTTTTTGAAATGGGAACATATTTACGTTATGGAGGGAGTAATATTCAGCGTTTTGAAAGAAAGGCATAACATGGATTACAACTAAATCATCCTTTCACCATTTATAATTTTCATATATATTATAAATTCCAAATTTTCACATCTACAAGTAGGATCATGTCCAACGTTACACGTTGTGCCACATAATCATTGTGTCAAGAAATGAAGTATAATAACAATGATAATGGTGGTGATGGTGGTAGCGGTGTACCTCACAAAATATAAGAACCCCAAAGTGATCATAAGTTGTTATCGATAATGAACACATTTAGAATGATAATTAGCAGTGTTCATGTTAAGAATGTTAGTTTCGTTCTTCTCATCCATTTTTCTCTCAAATCTTGAATATTACCTATGATGTTCTTAAACAAGCTCACAACCTTGTAGATAGCTTGACTTTTTGTTGTAAGAAATGTCACAACATATCATATTTATCAATCACAATACTTTCTTAATAAAAATAAATCGATAACGCTCTATCATTATCAAGCTACTCGCAATGGCCCTTTGATTTTAAGTAAGTATTATCATCAATTCAAATATATTATCATATACTCCCTCCGTCCCTAGTAACTTTGCCAAGTTTGACCGGCACATGGATTAATAAAGTAAAAACCGTGTGATAGATGTTTGTGCAGAGGAGAGAGAATTAACTGGAACTACAAATTCTTTACTTTAAAAGGAAAGTGTCAAAGTTACTGTGACATCCAAAAATGGAAAGTTGTCAAAGTTATAAGGGTCTGAGTGAGTATACGTGTACACTGTAGAAGATCACATACAAATAATGCGAACAATGGTTGTAAAATGTGAACTCTCAGATGATCTCACCATTTTAGTAATCACAGATACATATTTAAAGAAATTATCCACAAATTTCTTTGTATGCAACATCCACGGTAAAATGCTGAAATTGGTGTGAAAGGAATGAATAGATCCTTGAACATCCACGATAAGAGTCCTCAATTCATTAAGCTCACCATATGTTATTAGAAGTATCATCATATCTTTGACCTCTAATTATGAACAAAGACAATTCATACTTTGCGAACATACCACCAATACCACTTCCTAAGTAATGGTTGTGTAAACATGTCTAACAGTAAGCAATTATTCCATTATAATTCCATAATCGTTAAAATGTCTTATAACAAATTTCGCGTGTTATTTGGCGAGATCATTACCTCATCTAAAAGTTATACAAAATATTTTTAACTGGATAGGGGGTCACTATTTTTATCCTAAGTAGGCAAGTACTAATACTAAAGTTCGGGATCGAAAGCGGGGCACTTACCCCAGACCCCCCTAAGTTCTCCACTGTTTTTATTGATATATTAAAATACATGAATGATACTCCGTGTTGTTTGCTTTCAATTCTACCAGCTACGCTACAAAACCACATTTTAAAATATAATCGTAGATCCAAGCACACCCTTGGAGATGTTTGCCGACTGGAGGACAGGGAAGGGAAGAAAAGTTGGACCTTCTATATTTTGGGTGATTCTATATACAACCCTTATTTTACTAATCACAGCCCCATAATTTTTAAATACCTATTCTACCCTTCAAACTAATTAGAACGACGACTCCTGCAGAAATCTTTCTTCCAATAATTCACCGGCAACCAGTCTTGATTAATTCACCGAAGCAGAGCTGCTTTCAGCATAGATGAGGAGATCACGAGTCTAACAAACAACATCAACGTGGTCTCGGGCCTGGACTTGTACAACCCGTTCATTTCCTTTATTCCGGTAGGTGTCTCCCCCAAGAAAGCCAATGTTTTCCAGCTGCAGAAATGGCAGAGTCGCTGCAACTCAGCAAATCGGGGAACTCGTTGAATAATTATTAAATTTTCAATACTTTGGCCACAACCCTATGAATTTTCTCATTTCGAAGTGTGCTTTTCATCCAAAACCTTCCCTGTTTCCAGCTTTGCTTTAAAGCTTTCTGTCCAAAACAAATCAGAAAATTACCTCGGACCATGAAGCGAGTCACAATTTCTTGGTTAATTCAACAGTAATTAAATATCACATCATTAGAGTATGAAAAATGAAATCGAGGGTTTGTGAACTTCTATTTTGCCACTTCTATATGAATAGGGGCTTCAGAAAAGCAAGGATTACACCGAACACTTAATAGAGGTTTTTTTTTAATTAAAAACAAAAAAAGAAGAAGAAAGGATTACACCAAACAATTATCGGATTCCAAGCAGCGATCATAGCCGCACCTTTCTAACTAATCATCATCACCCCCACTTCCATCCTCGCATTCACAGCGGTAGGCCAAAAGCTTTCTTGTTTAAGCAACATCCATTCCATGGGGCTGTTCCCGGGTGTCGTTCTTGAAGGTTGGCCATCACAAACAGCAGGAGTTGTATTTAGTATAGGGATATAATAGACAATTAGTTTAATTAGGGGCTGTATTTAGTAAAAAGCGGGCTGTATTTAGAATTACCCTTATATTTTTAATGATACGACATCGTTTGAAGAAGGCTGAAAAAAAAGTAAGAGCTGATTGGGCCAAGTAAGACCCAATTACCAGCAACCTGCAGCCCAAACCAAGATAGCTTATTAGCTAATCCAAAAAACAATGCCCAGCAAGCAAGTAGCAGTGACGGTCTTCCGCCAATCCGCCCCTGCCCCTTGCGCAAGCAGCAACCAGCAGCACTGCAGTAGTGAGCCACGCCGGACGCCGCCACCGGACCGCCAACCGCCAGATCTCCGACCGCCGTGCTTCCGTCGCCCGCCTGTGACTTGCTGGGTAGGTTTTCAATTTCCCGAGTTTTTCCCTTTATACTAGTATAAATTAAAATTTTGGTATTTCAATATAGATTTTTTTAAATTCATAATTATGATTTCAAAAATACGTAGTGTAAAATAGTTTGAATTAAATTTAATGATTATACGTTAATGTGTTATTTCTATTAAATTAAGAGTTTATAATAGTTTGAATTAATTATTTTTGTTTTCGATATTTATTATTAGGGAATAAATTGAGAAATATTTCCCCCCAAAAAACATTGATACTTTCCGGTGCTAAATCTCCAAATGTTTCTGTTCGAGCTACACCTATAGACACAAATGGTAGTGGGAGTGGGAGTGGGAGTAGGATTAGACAATCTATTACTGATTCATGTAATAAAATGGGAGATGATTATCTTACTGATTGTGTAGTCTGCTACGTAGAAAGAGATGTGTTTAGACGCATCGATAATAAGGTTTTATCCAACATTTTCAAAACATGAGGACGCGTAGGTTGGATTTAGCACCATTACATTAACCCTTTTGATTAAATTTGTTAGGGATAAGGGTCAGATAGGGCCTCGAACTCGAAAAAAAATGTCAAATAAGGTCATATTTCGGATGCTCTGTCTGGCCGACGCCATTTGGGGCGGTTCCCGATGGAATTTTTTGATGAAATTTTTTGAGCATCTTCCTCATTAAGTCTAGTTTACCCATACCAAATTTCAGCTAAACATTCAACCGGGAAGGTAGTCAAATAATTTTCCGAAATGTACGGCGTTGTTTAACTTCACAGTTATCTTCAAAAATTCATTTGACTACCTTCCCGGTTGAGTTTTTAGCTGAAATTTGGTATGGGTAAACTAGACTTAATGAGGAAGATGCTCAAAAAATTTCATCAAAAAATTCCATCGGGAACCGCCCCAAATGGCGTCGGCCAGACAGAGCATCCGAAATATGACCTTATTTGACATTTTTTTCGAGTTCGAGACCCTATCTGACCCTTATCCCAATTTGTTATGTTTTAATGTTTTATTAGTGTAATCTGTTATGACAATGTTATTATTAATGTGATGATTTACATTATGTGATTGTGCCCCCGCTTAAATTCTTTTCTAGTTCTGCCACTGTGTTCAATTAATTAGTTGTAGTTTTCTGAATTTTCTCATTAATGAAAGTTAGGAACAAAGGAATTGTAATAAAAAATCAAGTCTTTATCTGGTTTTTTATTTTCAATTCAAGCTTATGTCTTCATTTTATATTGTTGAATGTAATCCCATTTTTTAATTTATGTCTTGTAAAAAAACACTTGCTCAGTAGATGAGAAGTAGTAAAATCTGGTTTAGGTTATTGTGTTAACAACTTAGATTGGGCTAGACCGTTAGAGCTTATAACAAAAGCTTAAGTTTCTCTTCGATGTGTAAAGATAGTGACTGAAACAGTGTTACAAAGACTGTGATCGAATTAATATATCAATGTGATTATTTTTATAATGCAACTCTGTTGGCAACTATTTATAAATAACAATGAAAGCATTTTTGTTTTTAACAGGGGCGATTAGTATCATTTATGTTTGATAAGCATATTCTCAAATTTCTCTTACTTCACTAAGAAATTGAATAACCATAAATGTTTCTAAAGAATTTCTGAACATGAATAATTGGAATATATCATATCTCATTATCACAACAATGTGGTTGGTAACTTGTTTAACTAAAGTTGAAAGTAGTATTTAAGTATAGCCCCATTTTTTTTAATATGATAGTTACCCTTAAGGATCTTTTTAGTATTAACTTATTTATCATATGATGTGGTGGAATAAAGCAAAATGGCTCACTAAACTGTTTGCGCTTCTTTGTTATGAAGCAACAGTCAGTCCATGCAATTTTGGACGTGATTTTCACTATGAGTCATCCGGAAACAGTCTCTCTTTGCTTTAGCACAAGGGTAAGACTATGTACATCCGACCCCCCCTTACCCCACCGTAGGTGGGAGCCTTTGCGGCACTGGGGTAAATGAAAATGAAAATGATGGATGTGGTGGGTTGTTGAGACTTGAATTTGTGATGTTTTTTGTTTGACTTTGATGAAAACTTAGATTCATGTAAAATATTTGTAAATTTCATTTTGTATTTGACCTTGTTACAATTGAAGTTATTTTATATCTATTAAATTTTTGGCCCACGCTCAATTCAAATGCTAGATCCGCCCCTGTAGAGCACCATAGCACATTTCTGGTGAGTGGTGGTTTTGTGCAGATATAAATATGGAAGGGGATCACATTGAAGAAGAAGATGATGAGTTTGGGTTCTCAAGGAACTATTTTCTTTCAAAGGAATTGGGCTCTTCTCGCAAAAAATCTGCCCGTAAACTCTCAGACATCCAATTAGTTGATGAAGAGGTTCTTTTCCCCTCCTCTCTAAATACATGACGGAGTATATTTAATTATTTATATACGTCTTTATGCATTTGTCCATACCATGAATGCTTTATTTAACAATTCCTATCTTTGGTTGTTTTATGCAGGAATTGAGGGACGCGGCTGCCAACATTGAACCTAAACACGAAAATGAAATTAAAGATTTGTTTGCAACTTATAAGCTTTTGTATTCAGAGTGGAAATTTGTCTTAAGGCGTGCTATTCGTTTATGTATATATTTCACTAATAGCCATCTGATATTCAAGTTCACTGTAGATGTATTTTGGGTTTCTAATTTGGTTCGTATAATGTTACAGGTGTGGTTTTGGGCTTCTGATGCATGGGTTTGGATCAAAGAAAGCCCTCATTGATGATTTTGCTTCAACCACTTTGACTGAGTATTCAGTTGTCGTGGTTAACGGTTATCTCCCCTCAATCAATCTTAAGCAGGCAAGTTTTTTTTGAAGTAGTGACTCAGGTTGATATACTATCAGAGATTAGATACAAAAGATTCTTATTATGTGAATTTATTGTTTCAACTGACTTCTGAATTCTTTTTATCGCATCTTCTCATAAGATATGCAAAGTATAGCTTTTCAAATGTAATACACATTTATTCTCTAATAATGAAACATACTTAACACTTTGACTAAGGCACCTATTTTTAAATATTTGGAAAGGTACAACGTCCATCATTCATGAACCTTGCATATATGTTATCTTTAAGTATTATGTTGGCATTTCTAAATTTATAAATGAAGCTTTTGTTGTCTTTTTTTTGGATAATTACCATTTGATCCAGCAGAGTTGTTTTGGGGCAATAAGTATATAATATTTGAAACTAGACTTCATCGGGACTAAGAGAATAAAAACATTCCTTCTGTCTTGCATGCATAGTAAATGCACATAGTGCCTATCTCATTAAAATGTGTCTTCACTCAATAAATGATCTTTCTTCTAATGTAAGGAATTTTGGGGGCATGTAAGGTTTTGTTAGTTTTTTAAGCATCATTTATATGGTAATGAATTGCTCTGTAGGTAGTGATAGCCTTAGCTGAGCTTTTGTGGGACCAGCTGAAAGCATTGCAAAAGATAAGTTCAGGCAGCAAGTCTAAAAATCAGCAACCTTTTAATACCCGATCAGTGGACAACCTTATTGAATTTCTGAATGAGCCACCCCTAGATACAAATGACAAGGATGAGTGCTTAGTTTGTGTTGTTGTTCACAATATTGACGGGCCTGGACTGCGTGAGCCTGATAATCAACAGTTACTTGCAAGGGTTGCATCTTGTTCACATGTGCGAATTGTTGCTTCTATTGATAATATCAATGCTCCTCTTTGTAAGTATCATCCATTTAATTTATTTTAATGTCATGAACTGGGATTCTTTCTGCATTATTCCAAATGCCATTGTGTTTTCATTGATGGCAAATGGTTTAAGTAATAGTATCACCTCATTGTGTCATTGTGTGCATTCACAATGAAAAAAACAGTATTTTTTAACTGATCCTTGTTGCCGTTTGTATTCTCAAAAGGGGTATAGTTATTTTGTATTCCCATGGAAAATCAACTATGATTACTACTTTTTTTTATCTACTTTCATATATTTAGTTTCTCTGTTTTCATATTATAAAAATAGACAGAAATATAGTGAGGTTGAAGAAATTAAAAAAAAAATATTGAGTTCAAACAAATCTTTTATTACGCCCTTCCAGATTTCTATTATATTTTTCTTCCCTACTCCTTTCCCTGGCATCTTCCGTGCACCAAACAGACCCATATGAATAAGTGATGCATATCCCACTGATTAGTAATAGATACATCTTCTATGCATCCCCTCCAGCAAACTGCAATATTAAAGTGCTGCTGAATTTTTTTTATTTTTTATGGAGTATTGGTCTGTGTTTTAAGAACCGGACCGGGCAGGTCAAACCGGAACCTGGCCACCTGGCCAGAAATCCGGTTCGATTAGTAATCAACCCGCTAATATGGACAAACCCGGGAAATATAAAAAAAAAACGGATATTAGAGAGCAGCATGTGCGCGTTGGAGTCAAATCCGCGTCTGCTCCAAGGAATTCTGCGTCCGAACCAGGCAACTAGAATGACTGGTTGGTTATATACGTATATGTATTGCTTTAAGAAGCTTATACCTTTCCAACCTTATACTTTCTTAACCTGCAACATTTTTAAAGTATTAATTAATTATTAAGTCATAATAACAATAATAATAATACACACGCACTAATGCTATTATTATATTTACTGATTATGTATATCATTTTCCAAATATATTTATGTAATACTCCCTCCGTCCCAATATAAAAGGCACATTTGCGTTTCTAGACATTTTAAGGGTGAACACTGTTTGGCACTATTTAGACACTGTTTGGACACTGTTTGGCACTGTTTGGACACTGTTTGACACTGTTTGACACTGTTTTGCACTGTTTTGCACTGTTTTGTTTGCCAAAAAGAGAAATGTGCCTTTTATATTGGGACGGACCGAAAAGGAAAGTGTACCTTTTATATTGGGACGGAGGGAGTATAATTTTTCTATTTATAAATTTAATTGTACATAAATTTATACTACGTATATATTTGGTGTTGACAGGGTTTACCGGTTGTTGACCGGGATGACCCGCCGGGTCCGGGTTAACTCGTGACCCGGTCATTTGTACGGATCACTTCCCGGTCCGGTTTTTACAACATAGGTATTTGTGTACAGAAGAATATTCAAATTTTATATTGTTATGGAAGGTTGTTGGTTTTATCCATTCTTCCTTCCTGCAAGCTCTCATTATTAGTTATTACTGTCTCATGTCTATCTCTCTGTATATGAAGTATGGGACAAGAAGATGGTGCATACACAGTTCAACTGGTACTGGCTCCACGTACCCACTTTTGCGCCGTACAAAGTTGAAGGAATGTTTTTCCCTCTAATTCTGGCACATGGGGGTAGCGCTCAAAGCGTGAAGACGGCTTCCCTTGTGCTTCAGAGTTTGACACCTAATGCTCAGAACGTGTTTAAAGTTCTCGCGGAACATCAGTTGGCCCATCCTGATGATGAAGGCAAGTAGTTCCTACCCTCCTATTTAGAAACCCCCATACCGTGTATTTTTTGTCACTCTTGTTCTTTTCGGAATGGACAACTCACAACAGTGAAATACATTTGTTCTATACAATATTAAGATTTGAAGTGTTATCCTAAAAGGTCATTTTAATAGAAAAAGTGACTAAATATCTTACATGTTGGTTTGTATGATTATAATTGGTCGTCATGAATAGTTCAACATGTCTAGTAAATTGGTGGCTCATTTGAGCATCTGTGTGCTCTTTTTTAATTGTAGTCAAATTCATTGGTCGTTTGAGCTTAATAGATTCTGATTCTCATATCATATTATAACTTGTGGTTCAATCCCTGAGTGAATATGACAAGCGTAATAACTTAAGACATGAATTTGTATGTCTACATTTGGCCAATGGCTTAACACACAACCAGGGAAAATGAAAGCAGTGAAAAAGTGAGAGACCAGATAGTTGTGGCATGGAAAGTGGAATATTAGCCTTTCCAACAGTTAACTAAAATCTTATGACATTTTTATTATTCTTTGCAGGGATGCCGGTCAATAGCTTGTACACCATATGCAGGGAGCGTTTCCTGGTGAGTAGCCAACTCACCTTAAATGCACATTTGACAGAATTCAAGGACCATGAGTTGGTTAAGAGCAAGAGGAAATCTGATGGTCAGGATTGCCTGTGCATTCCTCTCACCAACGATGCGATTGAAAAGCTTGTCATTGAGATCAGCCAATAGTTGCAGCATTGGATTGAGAAATTTGTGTAGAATCTCATAATTGAAGTGGTGCATGTGAGAGGGCTTTGAGCTAACGGCTTACCTAATCAAGGGTCATATGGTGTCAATGTTAATTATTATTAATCAGTGTTTTGACAAATTGTTGGTGACTATAACCACTTTCTCTGTAATTTGTATACTTTTGAGTTTTACTTTATCAAAAGAAAAAGAAGTTGTACTTTTTCAAATTATAGCAGTTTTGGTTGAAAGACTTGAAATGCTAGATGTTTGGTAACCATGATTTTTTTTGGTAAATGGTAAACATGAATATGGAAGTATGAAACACAATCATCACGCTGAATTTTGTTAATTCACGCTTCTTTTAAGTAATAGTCAAACTTTACATAGAGGAGTGATAAACATTTCAATTCTGAAGACAAGAACTTCATTTTCAAATTTCTCTGGATCATATTTCAAATTTCTTTTTCGTCCGTTTGAAATTATTCTTTCATTTTTTGGCAAAGAAATTGTGGTTAACAACATTGTTTACACATTTTTACACATTTCTTTCTCACTTGCACAATTCTTCACCACACAATTTTCACTTTCTTAATTTCTGTGCAAAAATCACTTTGGAATATAATTTAGGAACAAAAGGAGTGAAAATTTGTTGTGCCCTTCTACACATATAAACCATGTATATATATTAAAGGTACAATTTGTTTCTTAGTTGTAATTACTACGTAAAAACTAAGGGTAAGTGTATAATACTTGATAAAATTCCTAAAATGAAGTAATGTTCTATACCGTATCAAAGTTTTAATTGGCACTAATTTAGAGCAATAAGAGTGTTTTATAATCTTTTTATGCTGAATATCCTGTTTTCAGACAATTTTATTTATTTGAATGAGAATAACTGTGAGGATGTTTTTACTTTGACTTATTTCAATCTCATACCATATTAGATCGGATTTAAATAAATCAGATTAGTTCAAATTTTCAACATTGTAAAATACACATAACCAGACATCTACTAGACTAGATTAAAACAAACCAAAACAAACCAGAATGTATCAGAAAATTTGAATCCAATTAAAAACATCCTTAGAGTATGTAGCGTGACATACCATATGTCCATATAACTAACGAGACACGCAGGGAAATTGAACCCATGATATCAAGTGGGACGAATTTCCCTTTCCAGCGCAGCTACCAAACGAACCAACGGAACCTTTTTCTTTTTTCGCCACAGGGTCTTTAACATATCAATTGTTTTCAACCAGATGCGTATGTTATATGCTTAACTATGTCATTAGATGACAGTTGGAATTTAATGAATAGTTTAACAAACTCAGATTTACATATGTTAAAAATTTGGGCTGTATTTTTTAGAGCACAAAGTTCGATAAAGTTGGGATCACTTTATACTAACAAAAATACTTGTAATTAGATATATAAATATTTTGTTACGTATTTGTGTTTATAGAATATAATTACAAAGGATCCAAGCAATTGAGGAACGCTAAAAATGTTACTGATCAGTCTTTTTTAAACATCCAATAAGCAAAAACGTTAATTGACAGTATAGCTTTAAAAATCTAAATTTTCACATTATAATTACTAATTGCTAATTATTAATTTACACATTATTGTTTAGAGAAAATGAGTATGAAATCATTAAATGTCTGATTGTGGTGAAACGCGAGCTACACCTTGTTATCATATATTATTATAGAAGACTATTATTATTAATAATATAACTATTATTATTAATAATATAACTATTATTGTATTGCAAGACAATAATAATGATGTTTTTAATTAGACTAAAGTTGTATGATAAGGTCCGTTTAAGTTTTACACCTTGTTACTTTATATTATTATAGATTTTCATTTGAAAATTTTCCAATTACTCCAATATTCATGCAACTCTTATTTTTTTAATGGGTATGAAGCATTAAATGTCTAATTGGAGGGAAGAGCAAGGTGATACTTTATATTATTTTAAATAGATTTTGAATTAAAAATATTTCAATTACTCCAATGAATTATTCATGTAACTCTTATATTTCAATTACTCCAATATGTCCATATAACTAATACGGAGTACTATTTATAAGGTGAGAAAAATGAAAAATTACAGTATGTAATTATAATTTATTTGAAAATAAAATACTATAAAACTGACTTAACTTTGTTTTACATAAATACATTTAATAATTTTGTAATGGTAAAAATTGTAAACGAATATCAAGTTTGATAATTTAGCAAATATGTTGGTGAAAAATACATGAAATATGTCAACATTCGTACTCCCTATGTCATTAATAATTTTATTATTATTATGAGATGAGTGCATCCAAACCAATATCCTCACCCCCATATCTTGGTCCAATTTACTCATAATGTTAGTCTACCTTACAATTCTACAAAGAAAGAGCAACATTGAAACGGTTAAACCAGGTGGGATCATGAGTTGGGGACATCAGAAGAAGATAGCATTTGACCAAGACTTTTTATGGTATATGGCGGATGTGGCACGCCGCTGATGCCCAAACTCTGATTTTTCCGTCACACGACTTCTTCTTTTTAACCAGATTACGAAGAACCTAAGCGCGGCCGTCACGCTTCCTTACTTCCACGTCATCGCCATCATCATTAACATCTCTGTGCTAATACTTAAACCTGCAAATGGTTTCAACCATCTTTCTCACATAAACCAGGACTAGAGAAATAGAGAGTCAAAGAATCGAAAGAAATCTTGTTTGTGTGTTAAAGATCAAGTCTTTTTCTTTTCTTGGTGGGGGGAGGCTGTCTGTAGTGATCGCTCTTGAATCTCGAGATTTGGGTTTTGTGTGGTAAGGAAGGATGTGGGGTTTTGGTGGAAGGCAGTATTGGGGGAGGAAGGATAGAGGTGAAGTGGAAGGGATAGTGGTGGTGTTTGCTTGGATGTCCAGTCAACCCAGGCACGTGAAGAACTATGTTGATCTCTACTCCTCTCTGGGTTGGAATTCCCTCGTTTGCCACTCCCAGTTTCTCAATTCGTATGCCTCCTTACACCTATTCTTCAATTTCTCTTTTTCTTTTTAAACTAGTTATTGTAGGTTTTTCTTTTGATAATGGAATATCTAAAAAATTAATGTTCTTGAACTCTGGACTTGGATCATGAGTCATGCACAATTCAGACTTTCTCCCTTGTTGCTTTTTTACTGTCAGTAATTTAGTCTGTTCACTTGCAATGAGTAATTACAGTACGCATGATGTATTGATGTTGGCTATATTTTATTTTATTACTCACTCAGTTCCCGTTTTAAGGTTTTCATTCAGTATTGAAGCAGTCAACTTAGCTCTCTTTTAATTTCTGTTTTTATATGATACTTCCCTAAATCAGCCTCAGAACCTTGAAATTGGATGGAGGGACTATATGTTTTTCTTGCTTTTAGAGTTATTTTATGTTGTATAGACAGTTTAAATTTCTTTAAATGTTTTTTCAAAGCAAGAAATCTGAAAAGGACTTTGAAAGAATTTAATTTTTATTTACTTAATTATTTATTTGTTTGCCAAAAATATTTATTTGTTTGTTAGTGAGGTCCTTTAAGGCACCACTTTGTGCCGTATCTATTATATCATGTTTCACGATACTTATATTTAACTTTTTTATATGTGGCAGTTGGCAAACAGAATAGCTTAGTTTATGATCTTTGCTTTGCTCTGAATTTTCAATTTCAATATACGGAGTATTTCTTTTGGATGAAGTTTGTCTAAGCTTTCATTTGTTGAGGTGTCGGTTTACTGGTTTAGAAAATGAATGCCGTTAAACACTTGGCAATATATGAAGGAAAAAAATTGAGCTGAGTTTTATGAACAAAGGACATCTTGTGTGTCCTCGGATTAGCGTGATGAAGTGTTTCATCCTTTGGAATTAGTTTAGTAATGTGAAAAGTGATTCATAATCAGAAATATCACAAAACAAGCTATCATGGTTTTCATTCCTTCAATGCCCTATATGGAATTGACACTGACAATATGCAAGCACACACTGCTTCGAGCGAAGCTAAATTTGCGCCCTCTTTAGTTTTTTTTTTTTACCCCGGAAAAAACCACCAAAATCAGTTAAGGCATTTATCCATGCTTCAATAAATAGATATCGAGAGTACAAGAATGAAAAGAATGACAAAGTATTTTGCTCATGTATTTTGGCTATGTAATAACCTTGGCAGGTTTTATCCAGAGAAAGCTGCAGCTTTGGCATTAGAAGTTCTGAATGAGCTTGTTGAGGTCAGTCTTGTGATATAAGAATATATAATATTTTCCTCCATTTTCTGAAATTGTCATGAATATTTGCACCCAATGCAGCTTTTTTGGATTGAAGTCCTAAATGTAGACTCTAGCTTAGCGCTTAAAGTATTACTCCCTTTGCCCCTCAAAAAAGGTCCAGTTCCCAGAACTCTTTGTCCAAAAAGAAAAAGAGTCCATTTTGATCACAAACAAGCTACATACTGTATAAGTTTAATAAAACTTCCTCCGTCCCATAAAATTCTTCCCACTTACCTCTTTGGGATGTCCCAAAAAATTCTTCTCATTTCCCTTTTTGGAAAGTATTGTGGCTAACATTCATTTACCTTTTTCTTACTCAACCACAACCATACATTTCCACTTTATTCCCACTTTCTTAAACTTTGATCAAGTCAAACCAGGAAGACTTTTATGGGACGGAGGGAGAATAAGTTTTATCTGTTTCACTTGTACCTTACCAAAATATTGAAGTTGTACATTGATCAAACAAGACCATTTTGGGACACAGACACATATATGAGGTCTTTCCTATAATACTACTAAGACAAAACATAAACAAAAAAATGGTTGTGCATAGTCACTGCAAAGAAACAGAAAATCAGTGGTAAATACTGATACTGTGACTATACTAGCATAGTTACTGTGCTAAAAAGTTATATTTTGTCCAATGTTTTTATTTTAGTCATATACTCTGTATATGTCATTAATTGTATGTACATATGTTTGTCTACTCATGAGTTATTCTAATAGCTTACACCAGCCTTTATGGCTTTATCACATCTTTTGTACGTAGGAGCTAAGAGTTAGGCCATGCCCTGTTGTCATTGCATCTTTCTCTGGTGGCCCTAAAGCTTGCATGTATAAGCTACTTCAGGTAATTCATAATTGACATTTCTCGTGTGTAGAACTATGTTGTAAAAACCGGACCGGTGAGCGACCCGGTAATGTGACTGGGTCATGGGTCAACCCGGACCCGGAGGGTCAACTCGGTCAAA